ATAGAGAAGTCAAAATAGTGGTTATGTCTGGGGGTACTGATGGCAAAAGTGTGAGAGAACGGGGCAAGACTCCCGCCCTGGTGTCCTTGCCACCTTGTGTGTCTCTACATAGGCCATGGGACAAGGATAGAGCAGTGTGGCTTGTCTTGAGAGAACGTGCTACCATTATTTATAGAGTCAGGGGACGTACACAGCCTAGAGAGGAGCCCCCCTATCTTGGAGGAGACTACCACAAGGCCATTTCTCATTCATCTTCATAGTTTCAGCCCAGCGAAGGGCTTTCCATCTGGCCCCTCCCCTTGGAGAGTGCAGCCAAGGCCATACAACTGCTTGGCTGTAGTTAGAGTTGGCTCCTAACCACAGAGTGACCTACCACCGTGCCTCCTGTCGTCTGGTCCCTCCAGATCAGTGCCATCCTATGGGACGAGGTATGTGAGAGGGTGACACCATGCTGGTCTTGCTTTTTCTGCCTGGATCCACTAGGGCTTGTCGTCTGTCTGGCTGAGGCTGTGGAAGTGTGGCAGGCCCACCTAGCGGCTGCATAGTGATTCTTGTGGCCCTGTTAGCTGCCATACTGCGCTTAGGGACTGCTTGACCACTTGACCAATTTGGCACTTAATGATGGGCTGATAAGGTCATAATCCCCTTTTGGAGAAGAGACAGGGCTCTGGACTGTCAGGTTAAGTATGGGATAGCATTCTGGTGGACTGAGTGTCCACTGAGTGCCCACTCAGTGCTGAGGTGTTTGGTGACATGAGAGACAAGTCTCTGGTCCCCAGTGAGCTCCATTGGTGTTTAGAGTAAGAAATCAAAGAGGGAGGGTCTTGCAGAGCTAAAGAAAGCATACAGTGGTATTGCTCACAGCAGGTGACTACAAATAGAACACTACCAGGTGACCAGGGGCAGTCCACCACTCAGAAATGTACTGAGATCCACTCTTAAAACGAGTGAGAGAGAAGGGAAATCAGAGATAGATTTGGACAAAAGTCCAATGAAACCACAGAAGCATGGCTCATCCAACTAGCAAATGAGGGTGCTGTGTCAGTTCTGCTGGATGACAAGGAATGGAAGTCATTAGGGTGCTTAACAACTGATCCTATGCTCCAAGCCACTTTGGCCACAACCACTCTGGCCAGTGAGAGGGATATGGAGGAGGAAGATACAGAGATAAATCAGGGCTCATTGCAGTGGGTCTTTACAACTAGGGGGAAACAGTGGCCTATCCAAGATGAAGTTCTGTCATCTGATAAGCACCCTTGGACAGTATCGGGAGAGGCCGTCACTTCCTTTTAGTCTGCTGTGACCTCAGCCTGGATTCATATCAGAGATCATGAGTGCCCCGATGAAGAAAAAGTCACCCAGAGTCAGATTAAACATTTGCTCGACACCACCAGGCTATGGGTGAAACTGAATCTTCTCTCGCTCTCTGGGGATGTCTCTGGGAAACGTCTCTGCTCTGTAGACGCTGTTTGAGTGGCAATTAGTGACTGAGAGACTAAGGTGTTTTTTTATCATGACGTCCTCGTTTGGGGATGAGGCTGGAGTGAAAACACCAATGAAGTGGGCATTGGCCAACAAGCATTTATCATTAAAGGGGAATGGTACATCCAAGAATGGAGTAAGAATGGAATCTCCTTCCTGCACGAAAGGATGCCCAGGTATGAGGCGCGGCTATCCCAGAGGCAGAGTCTGTGTCAGCACCTTGGATTTCTTGGGGTCCTCAGTACACTGATGTCCCTCAGGACCAAGTTAACGGCCAATGCAGGGCACTGAACTGCTGAGGCTGTGCAACCACAGAGAGCACAGGTTAAAATTTTGCATGGAAAAGGGCGCTCCACACAATATGCAGAGTCGCTGGCTATGGTGCTCGCCCTGGAAAACACTGCTCATAATGCGCCTTGCTACATTTCACTGACCCCCGGGCAGCAGCCAGTGGACTGGCAGTCTGGCATCTGGCAGCAGGACAACTGGATCATTAAGTCCTAACCCCCGTAGGAAGAGCGTTATGGCAACAGACTGTGTGGGACACACGTCCCCTGTTCACAACCCATGGGGATTGTGATGGTTACTTTATATGCCAACTAGGCTGAGCCACGGTGCCCAGATATGTAGTCAAATATTATTCTGGATGTTTCTGTGATGGTGTTTTTGGTTGAAATTAACATTTAAATCGGTGGACTTTGAGTAAGGCAGATTGCTCTCCATAACGTGGGTGGGCCTCATCCCACCAGCTAACGGCCTAAACAGAACAAAGACTGACCTCCCCCAAGCGAGAGAGATTCCGCAGCAGATGCCCTTCAGACCAACTGGAGCATCGGCTCTTCTCTGGTCTCCAGCATCCTGGCCTACCCTCCAGATTTTGGACTTGCCAGTCTCCATAATCGCATGAGCCCATTCCTTAAAATAAATCTTTCCGGATATATACACATCCTATTGATTCTTCTTTGGAGAATCCTGTCTAATTCAAGGATGCCCATGGAAAAGGATCCTGTGACTGTGAACATCAGTGGAACCATCAAGCTGGTCAGAACTGTAGAGCCCAGGTAAGAACCACAGCCGCCTGCAACACTATCCACAGTACCTGGCAGGCCATCTGTAGTCCAGGGCCTGGCTGATGTGCCTGCACTACTAGCCACTCAGTGGAGTGGCAGAGAGAACTCTGGGGCACTGAACCTGCCTGGTCCTGACAAATGGATTATACGGGCCTTCTGCTTTCCCCTCAGGGGTACCACTGGGCATTGACTGCAGTTTTCCGGGTGTGGCACAGTAGTTCCCAACTGCACAGTGGATGTGGGCCGTACTACTCAAGAACTCCTAAAGGGGCTATGTTGCATATTTGGGTTCTCCAAACACATCCCATCAGAGAATGGTGCTGCCTTTATAGCCAAGAGTACTCCACACTGGGGCATTCCCCGGACATTTCCTGCCCTGTATCACCCACAGGCGGCAGGTGCCAGCAAAAGATGGAATGCGCTCTTAAAGGAGAAGCTAAAATAGATAAGTAGACAACCCAACTCAGCTGCTGGTGGAGCGCACACTCGAGGCAAGGCAGCGGGTATTCTAAAGGTGACGGTTCCGCGGAAGGGTGGTTCTCACCTGGACAGAGTGTTCAACTATAAGGTTGGGAGGGAGAGAAGAGGCCCCAACTGGCTATAAGAGACTCAAGCCACATATTTAGTCCTTCCTGCCCTTCATTTTTTCCTCTCTTGCCTGCCTCCAGGAAATCAGGCTAATGGAAGAGCAAAGAAGAGCTGGGGGTGGGAGAGTCTAACTGGATGCTGCTTCCACCCTGCTTAGGCCTGTGCAGATCAGGCTATACTTGCCTGCCAGACACCAGTCAGTCTAAACCCTAGTGTAAGTGGGGACAGACGATTGTATTGCCCCGGGCTTGTGCTGGCCACTCAGAGCAGCACGTACGCGGCAGCCAACACCTCTTGCTGCGCTTGGAGTGATGAATCAGGACAAGCGGAGTGATCCCTCTCGACTCATAATCAGGCTGGCTCTACGGCCGATCTCCAGGGGCATCTGGGACATAATGGTTTGGTTCTGGGTGGGGAGCCAAGTCTGACCATCCTGCTGGAAGGCATAATTGCAGTCATTGTCGTCTAATGTTGCTTAAGACAAACAAAGGATTTAGTCCAAGCTCCCATCAGGACAATTAATTGAGCTATCTGATAGGGTGGCTTATGCTCCTGAAAATAGTTCTTAGCTAGATACATGAAATGTTGGAGCGGCGGGAGATGAAGTCCTAGGAAGCGGGCACAACGCCCTGACACCCTTGCACAGCTCCCTGTAGGCCACGTAGGCAAGGCTTGCCCACAGCCCAGCCCAAGTCTCAGCAGAACGCACTACCATTCCTCCTGCAACATGTGCCCCAGGATTCCCACTGGGACAAGAGGGGACAGGCAGCCTGGTGAGGAGCCGCCCTGTCTTGTGGGAGATGGCTGAGAAGCCATTTCCCGTCCATCTTCCTGATTTCAGTCGAGTGTAGGCTTTCTGCCTTGCCCCACCCCGCACTTAGAGTGCAGCTGCTGGCCGTCAAAGTGTCACTGCAATTGGGAGTTGGCTCCCTCCCCACAGAGACACCTATCACCATGCCGCCTGTCATCTGGTCCTTCCTGTTCAGTGCTGTCCTGTGACTAGGGAAAGCTGACACCAAGCTGGTCTTGTTTTTCCTATCTGTATGAGTCATAAGCTGTCTGAACCCATTGAGGGTTGTTGTCTCCTCCCTGGCCAAGTCTGGGGAAGAGTGGCAGGCCTGCTAGCGGTTGCACAGCGATCCTTGTGGCCCTGTTAACCAGCACGCTGTGCCTCTTGACAGAGGGGGACATTCTGGGGTGACAGGAATGAATGTTCTATGTTTTGATGTGAGTGGTGGTTGTAATTGCGTATACATTTACTAAAACTCATCAAACTGTACACGTACACGTGCCACATACTATAAGTTATAGCTCAATTAAAAAAGGAAAAAGAACTACCAGAGAATCAACAAGAGCTCTTGAAAATTAAGATTATGATTGCCAAAATGAAAACTCCCAACAGAAGGGTCGGAAGAGAGGCCGGCCAGTGGCCAGTGGTTAAGTTCGCTGGCTCCGCTCTGGCAGCCCAGAGTTCCGCCAATTTGGATCCTGGGTGCAGACATGGCACTGCTCATCAAGCCCTGCTGAGGTGGTGTCCCACATGCCACAACTAGAAGGATACACAACTAAAATATACAACTATGTACTGGGGGTTTTGGGGAGAAGGAGGAGAAAGAAGGAAGAAGGAAAAGGAAGGAAGGAAGGGAAACCTCGCGGCTGCGCATTGTCCTAAGGTAATAATTTAAAAAGAAGACGAATGTGGGATTCACGGAGATGTTCACTGCGGGACGGCTTATTATGCTGCAAAATTATAAACAATCCAGATGCCCAGTAAAAGGAGAACCACCAGGAAATTTAAGATATGTCACTCACTGGGTGGCAGGCACGGAAGGGGAAGTGGTTAACACACCGGACCGACAGGGGGCAGCACCCCTTCGCCTAGGGAGCGCGACTGCATCCAACGGAGGATACCCAGAGCAGAACCGGGCGGGGCCCGGGAAGCGCGCTCCTCCGTGCAGCTGGGGAAATGGAGCGGGGACGTCGCTACTGCTGCTGGATAACGCGCTTACTCTCGTAAGATTCAGGAGAGAGAAAGTTGCACGCCGCTCGCCGAGGCTCCACAGCTCGCGGAGGCCGGGGCCCGGGCTGCGGCTGCGCACTGCGGACGGGGGTGGGCGCCCGGGGCCGGGCGCGGGAGGCGCGGGAGGCCTGCCCGCGGGAGTGGAGCCGGGCGGGGCGGCGGGCCCAGCTCCTCGCGCCTGCTTGGCGGGACGCCCCGCGGGCGGGGCCGGGGCGGCGCGCCTGTCCCCGCCCCGCGCGCTGCTCGGCCCGGCGGCCGCGAGAGGCCGGCAACGGCGAGCGAAGCGCAGAGGAGCACGCGGGCGGCCAGGCCCCGCGGGAGCGCGGCTGCGGCGCGCCGCGCCGGGGGCGGGCGCCTGCCGTCGCCTGCGTCGCTGCCTCCGCGCAGGCCGCCGGCCCGGGCATGTGACGGGCGCAGCTCGGCCAGCGGGGCCCGGGGCGGCGCGGAAGCCTGCCGCAGACGGTAAGGCGCGGGGGAGCCCAGGGGCCCGGCCGCGTTCGGGCCTGGGCGGCAGGAGCGCGGGCGGCGCCGCGGGGTCGGAGGCGGCCCGAGCTCCCGCACCCGGCAGTTGTCGCCTGGTCGCCGGGGCCGGCAGCATCGGGGAGGGGGCTGGGCCGGCGGGCGGACAGGCTGCGGCAGACCCGGCGGCAGGTGCCTGCCCTCCCTGCGACCCCACTCTCTCCCCAGCTCCACCCGCTTTGGCCGGGACCCTGCCTCCAAGGGCTAAAAATATTGCCCGGAGGCTCCCGGGGCAGAATCAGATCGCGCTAAGTAGGGCACGACGCGCGCGGAGGCGACAGAGCTCATCGGCCCCAGGGCCCGGGAAGGCTGGGAGCGGCGGCTCCCTCCCACGCTCGGCCCAGCAGCGGGCGGCCTCACTCTGCCGCCGACGAGGCCAGTGGGGCCCGCGGGCGATGGCAGTGGGCGCTGGTCCTCTGAAGTTGCCCCAGAACGGAGTCGCTGTGCCTACCCAGAGGATCTTCACCATCAGTCGCTGCCGGCTTCCTAGGGGGTGCCCTAAATGCTCTACAAGCAGAGGCTGAAAGTTACCCACGGCAGGAGTCAGAATTAACAGGGAAAAGATGTAGGATTCGCTCAATGTTGGAAACATGAGCTGCCGCTGCTGCTTCTGTAATTCATTCTGCTTCTTAATGAGAGAGGAGCCGTGCCAGGCACTGTCTCTGCTGAGTACCAGTCTGATCCAAGAGGGCGGGAAGAGAGGCTTCCCTGTCAGTCTCTTTGATTTATACTTTTAAAATCAAAATAGATACCAGTTTGTTCCTCTGAAACTAGAAGCTTGTGGCAGTGGAGGCTGGACACCCACCTCCTTTGACTGGCTGTGTCTTTCTTGTAGGCAAGCTATGTGGGCAGAGGTTGTGTGGGGAACTCTGGAATCAGAGCTGAGAAATTTGTCATCCAGTCGTGTTTTTATAGCATCAGCCTGGGAGAGAGAGCATCGTCTCTGCCCTAGGGGCATAGCTGCTACTGGGAACAGGCAGGACCAGCCTCAGATGTGCTATTTATGTGACCTTTCTTTGTCTTGGCAACGGGAATAAGAGCCAGGTTGGGTCTGGATCCACAGCCGGTGTTGGGATGTCATGTTTAGGAGCTTGATGATCTTTGCAGTCAGGCAAATAGGTGTTCCCTGGGAGCAGGCCTCAGGAACTCATTGGCGCGTTTGGTGGAAAGACCACCGAAGGGATTTTGCCTGCTGGAGCTACATATGGTGGCGTTCCTCCTGCCAGGTGTGTGTGGCTGCCAGTATGAAGCTGAAAAAGCAGGTGACAGTGTGTGGGGCTGCTATCTTCTGTGTGGCTGTCTTCTCGCTCTATCTCATGCTGGACCGAGTGCAGCATGATCCTGCTCGACACCAGAACGGTGGCAACTTCCCCCGGGTGAGTCAGGCCTGGTTGCTAACCCCTTCATATACAAGTCGTCTGCGCTCAGGTTATCACCCCAGCTGGAGAGCCGTGTCAGCCCAGGGCAGGAACATTCCTTCCCAACAGGCAAATTTTCTAGAAACTCAGAGCTAAAAACAATGATGGCCAAAGCAAGAAGGAAGACAAAATGGCAATCTGTACTGCCGCTCTGTCCTCCTGAGTTCTTGGTGGGCATTGCTGATGGATTGCAGCCTTCTTTCCCCTGAGCATGATGCGATCCTTGTCAGCTCAGTGCTCCCGACAGGCAACAGGCAACGTGGGTTGTTGACAATAGGCCTGTGAGATGAAATCTTTCCCATCCATGAGCTGGAGAGTGAGGATGTTCCCAGCCCAGGTGGTCTGTGGTCCTCAGTAGTGGTTCGCACCTCTTCCCTTCTCTGACCAGAGCCAGCCCCCAGGCTTGTGGTTCTGCCTTTGGTTGGGGATGGAGAGATCACAGTCAGGCCTCAGGTGGGGGACCCCGTGCAGAGATTCTCCCTGTAGCCTAGGAGCTGCGGGTGATTGCTTTCTGGTTTTTTGGCAGAGCCAAATTTCTGTGCTGCAGAACCGCATTGAGCAGCTGGAGCAGCTGTTAGAGGAGAACCATGAGATCATCAGCCACATCAAGGACTCTGTGCTGGAGCTGACAGCCAACGCCGAGGGCCCGCCCGCCCTGCTGCCCTACTACACAGCCAATGGCTCCTGGGTGGTGCCGCCAGAACCCCGGCCCAGCTTCTTCTCTATCTCCCCTCAGGACTGCCAGTTTGCTTTGGGGGGCCGGGGCCAGAAGCCAGAGCTGCAGGTAAGAGTTAGAGCTGGCAGGGACCTACGGTGGCCGTGGATGGGGCTCTGAGCTGCTCTCCTGCCCGGCAGATGCTGACTATATCGGAGGAGTTGCCGTTTGACAATGTGGACGGTGGCGTGTGGAAGCAAGGCTTCGACATCTCCTACAGCCCACACGACTGGGATGCTGAAGACCTGCAGGTGTTTGTGGTGCCCCACTCTCACAACGACCCAGGTAGTGACCCCTGGGAGCTGGGGTGTGGAGTGGGCTTCCTGATGACTAAGGTAGGGGAGGGACAGTTGAAGAAGACGGTGCCATCCTCAGGGGGCCCTGTGTTGGCTCCCCAGGCTGGATCAAGACCTTTGACAAGTACTACACGGAGCAGACCCAGCACATCCTCAACAGCATGGTGTCCAAGCTGCAGGAGGACCCCCGGCGGCGCTTTCTCTGGGCAGAAGTCTCCTTCTTTGCCAAGTGGTGGGACAACATCAATGCCCAAAAGAGAGCGGCAGTGCGAAGGCCAGTGCCGGTTGGGGAGATGTGGGAGGGCTATGCTCTGGGCCCTGGGGTGGGTTTGAAGGTCTCACCTGAAGTTGGGGGCGCCAAGGTGCCAGGGGAGAGGCAACGGGAACTGTGGCAGAGCTGAGGGTGACGGTAGAGGGGCCGATAATGAGAAGGCAGGAAGTGGTTTGAGGGTCACTTGTGTTAGGAGAAATCAAAGTCATGTGAGCACAAGCGAAGAGAAAGCTTGGGGCCTGGCCCTGGCAGCACAGACCGAGGTCCAGAACTCAGCAGGGCCAGGTCAGCGCGGAGGTTGGTTGGAAGGAAAGGAGGGCACATGTCTGTTCTCTTGGTCCTGGGTTCGGGTGAGCTAGCTCGGTGAGGCCAGTGTGCACAGGTCTCGGCATCTTCTGTTGGCAGGCCCGGGTCCTCGCCCCAGGCTGAGTGTTGAGTCCTTATCTCCAGGCTGGTGGGAAATGGGCAGCTGGAGATTGCAACGGGAGGCTGGGTCATGCCGGATGAGGCCAACTCCCATTACTTTGCGCTGATCGATCAGCTCATCGAGGGCCACCAGTGGCTGGAGAGAAACCTTGGTGAGTCCGGGCTCAGGAATGGAAGTGTGAGGACAGCAGGGGGCCACGATGCACAGGGATGGCAGGGGCTGTTCTTTCTAGGCTGATTCCACCAGTGTGGACCTGGTGTGATGGCACGAAGGAAGCTGGGCGCCCATACCCAGAGGCTAGGCCCTGAGGTGTTCAGGGTCCCTGGCTTCCATGCCTCTGCCCAGGTGTGACCCCACGTTCGGGCTGGGCCGTGGACCCCTTTGGATACAGCCCCACCATGCCTTACCTGCTTCGCCGCGCCAACCTGACCAGCATGCTGATTCAGAGGGTGCATTATGCCATCAAGAAGCACTTTGCTGCCACCCACAGCCTGGAGTTCATGTGGAGGCAGACCTGGGGTAAGGCCAGGTAGGGTGGATGGGGTCCCAGCAGTGGTCCTTACTGGGGAAGGGCAGGGGTCTCAGTGTCCTTCAGAGCAGACCAGTAAGCACTGGTGCGGACTGCCAGAAGTGCTTTCTCCTTCAGGTTAGGTGGGGATCACGCTGACCTCTGGCCTCTGTGGGGCCTGCTGTCTGTCCTGAGGGTCTGAGCATACTGTCCCCTAGAGGAGCTGTGGGCTCCAGAGCTCCCTGTGTCCTGACCCTTGGCCTGCGCATCCTCAAGTCCAGTTCGAGCCTCCCCTTTTCTCAGGGCTGCCTTGCCTGCAGCAGCTCCCTTCCTCCTGGCATCCCTGTGCCCAGCTCCAGAGGCTGCCTGCTGGTGGCTGACTGCCCGGGGTGTCTCCCACAGACTCAGACTCCAGCACAGACATCTTCTGCCACATGATGCCCTTCTACAGCTATGACATTCCCCATACCTGTGGCCCGGATCCCAAGATCTGCTGCCAGTTTGATTTCAAACGTCTGCCTGGCGGGCGCATCAACTGCCCCTGGAAGGTGCCGCCCCGGGCCATCACGGAGGCAAACGTGGCCGAGAGGTATTGGCTCCAGCCCCGGCTGGGCGTGGGGGCTGTTTTCACTCCGCAGAGGAGTTGGGAGATCTGGCCTCTGATCTGGGCTCTGCTGCATGGGGGGCTTTGGGTTCCACATCTGTAAAACGGAGTGGGTTCGGTGGCGAGTTCAGGCCCATGGCGGCTGCAGTGGCAGCTGTACCAGGAGTCTCCCTGGAAAACTCGAGTGGTGCTAAGGAGCCACCCTTTCCAGAATGGTTTTATTTTCCCAAATAAGTATGTTTTCCAGTGCCCTAACAAACTGTCAAGAGCCGGTTGACTGACTCAGAGGTGACTAATTCTCAAGTTAGGGACAGTCCCTCACAACCCTTAGCTTACGATGCCTCCATTTAGCTCGGGCATCCCACCGGGGCTCCGAGTCCCCCAGGATCCTAGGTGTCCGTGCACCAGAATCCCATTCAGATGCACCTTCAGTCCCTCCCAATGGCCTCCAGCTCCAAGAAAACAGACCTGTTCCCTCTGAGAATCGTTAGGGACCCTGAGGGTGTCCCCGTTGCTGAAATCAGCCCCCTGGGAAGGTGCAGCTTAAGAGCTATCTAAAACCGCGATTTAGCCAGAACCGGACTGGCCTTAAGAATACAACAAGTTGAACTGGTTTTCATGTTTCAATACTCCAATTTCCATCATGTCCAAGAGGTGAAACGTGACCGAAAGGGAAAGAAAGTGGTCTTTTGTTTCCAGAATCCAGAAATCTAAATGCTGGTTCCAGGCAAGAATCGAGGGCAATTACAGCTTGATTTTTCTCAGAGCAGCAGCTGTGGTCCACAGATGCCAGCCCCGGTCTGCAGAGAGCAAGTCTGCGATAACTTCATTTTCTCCTTTGAAAGGCTGACTAGCCTGATAAATTAGGGGAAAATGCTATTCTAAGGAGTCCTCTCTTGAGAACAAAGCAGAGAAATATAGGCTGGACCAGTACAGTTAAGTAGATTAGTGGCTGGTTGAACTGTGACACCCATAACATGCCAATTACTAGATTGGTCTAAAAAGAGAAAGGGGCTTTAATGATATGCTACAAGGCTCTGTTTTTCTATTGATTTTACCAGTAGCTTGGATGAAAAAGACAATGTCAAATATTTGTATATAATTCCTACTGTATGCCAGGCACCATTCTAAGTGTTTAGACAAATATTAATTCATTCAGTTCACTTAAATTCTCATGATGTTATGCTGGTAGGTACTGATGTTATCCTAATTTTATAGAAGCTGAGGCCCAGAGAGGTTAAGTAACTTGCCCAAGGTCGCTCAGCTAGTGCATGTGGAGCTGGCGTTGGCGTAGTCTGGCTCCCAAGTCCAGCTCTTCACTCCGGTGCTGTGCTGCATTGCTACCTGTCAGGCAAAATGAAGCTGGAGTGTCAGAATCAGCATCCCAAAATGTCTCAACAGGTTGCGATGTGGGTTGAATCTGACCAGATAGGATTTATTAGATGTACATGTAAGCTTCCACCCTTAGCTTTAGAAGACAGAATAGGAGAGTTCAGGATGAGGAGAGAAGACCTTGCTGAGCCACATGCATGGAGAACATGGACATTAGGTCGGTGGGGTGACGGTGACCTGTGGATGCCCCGGGCCAGACTGGGCGGCATGTGGTTCTCTCTTCCCTTTCTGGGTCAGCCTACCCTGGACCCCATATTTAGTGCTGGGCCCCTTCCTCTGAGGGACACTGGCAGATGCTCAGAGAGCTGCTGGTGAGCAGATCCGAGACTGTTAAATGTGGGGACCAAAGAGAAGGAGGAACCGGGACTGTAGATCCTGAAGGGAAGCGCAGAGCAGTGTGAGCACATCTTCGATATGTCTGAAGGATAATCCTGGGGAAGGAGGAGTGATTTGTTCTGCGTGGTGTCCAAGGGCAGACCTGGAGTCAGGGAACTGAAGCCGTAAATCGCAGCCCAGCACAGGAAGAACTCTCCAGTTGCCAGAACCATCCAGAGAACACTGGGCTCCTGGCACCAGGGGTCCCACCCCAGGAGGTGTCCACCTGCAGCTGAATGACTCCTTGATGGGCGTGTTCCAGAGGGGCCTCCCTCGGGCCGGCTCTGCTTAGCATCCTGCCACACCGAGGCTTCAGCCGGGCCCATGCGCTTTCCCGCCCGCAGGGCAGCCCTGCTCCTGGACCAGTACCGCAAGAAGTCCCGGCTGTTCCGAAGCAACGTCCTCCTGGTGCCGCTGGGCGACGACTTCCGGTACGACAAGCCCCAGGAATGGGATGCCCAGTTCTTCAACTACCAGCGGCTCTTTGACTTCCTCAACAGCAAGCCTGACCTCCACGTGCAGGTGTGAGCGAGCGCTGAGCTGGGGAGGGGCCCTGCGTGCGTGCCACTGCCCAGCCCGCCCCGTGAGGTCCCCTGCTCCCCGCTACCCGCTCCAGAGCAGGGGTGTGGGCACGGTTTCCCTTTTGTGTCAGATTCTTTCCCGGCTCCCCAGCTTCTGTGTGAGGTCCAGAGGGGCAGGGTGCACAGGGACTGCCCTCTGTGTGGGCAGAATCCCTGCCCCTAGCCCCAGCTGCAGCTCTGGGGGCCACGATGCCCAAAGACTCTGGAACTGATGGAAGCGGGGTTTTGGGCTCCCCACAGGCCCAGTTTGGCACCGTCTCTGACTATTTTGACGCTCTGTACAAGAGGACGGGGGTGGAGCCAGGGGCCCGGCCTCCGGGGTTTCCTGTGCTGAGCGGGGACTTCTTCTCCTACGCGGACCGGGAGGACCACTACTGGACGGGCTATTACACTTCCCGGCCTTTCTACAAGAGCCTGGACCGCGTCCTCGAAGCACATCTGCGGTGAGGCCCGCCTCCTTCCAGGCCAAAGGGAGTAGAGGAAGCCTCTCGGTTTAAGGAGGGGCTGGATTGGCTCAGACAGGACTCGAGGGCACAGGGACCAAGGCAGGTGGAGCAGTGGTGGAAAGGAGGCTGGTGGGCCTTGCAGAGCGAGCGCGGTACCCTGGGGAGCTGTGCGGGCAGGCGGCTGACTTCTCTCTCTGGGCAGGGGGGCAGAGATTCTGTATAGCCTGGCTGTGGCTCACGCTCGCCGCTCTGGACTGGCCAGCCAGTACCCGCTCTCGAACTTCGCCCTTCTGACGGAGGCTCGGCGCACGCTGGGGCTCTTCCAGCACCACGACGCCATCACCGGCACTGCCAAGGAGGCGGTTGTGGTGGACTATGGGGTCAGGTGGGAGCCCTTCTTTCTCCCCCATCCATTCCACACCCCTGCCCACTGTCCCAAAGAAAGGATGTGCTGGGCGGTCAGTGGGCAGGCCTGCCGAGGGCTCGTCCTGCCGCGAGGTGGACAGCCCATCTGCAGTCATCTTCCCCATGGTCCCTCTCCTGTTCCCCACCCCCCAGGCTTCTGCGCTCCCTTGTCAGCCTGAAGCAGGTCATCATTAATGCAGCTCACTATCTGGTGCTGGGGGACAAGGAGACCTACCACTTTGACCCTGAGGCGCCCTTCCTCCAAATGGTGAGCCCCGTTCCTGGGTCTGCACAGGGGCGCCCCCTGGTGCATGCAGGTCCCATCCCAAGAGCTGTGGTATGAGGGTGTTGCTCCTCTTTTCCTTCCCCGTCCTGGGGTGAAAGATATGTGCCCAGTGCATCTGGTGGTCCACATCCAGGACGGGCGGGGCAGGGGGGAAGAGGTAAGTCTCCATTGGAGCTAGGCTGAGCCTGGCGATGGTTCTTTCCTTCCTGCCCGCTTACTTCCAGGATGACACCCGCTTGAATCATGACGCCCTGCCAGAGCGCACGGTGATCCAGCTGGATTCCTCACCCAGGTGAGCCGGACCAGGCCGGATGCAGAGGCAGAGCTGCTCCTTGGCTCTCAGCCTCCTCCCACCCCACCCTGCTGACCCGCCGCAGAACCTGGCTGCCGTTCCAGCTTCCACCAACCGGGAGCAGTGGCCTCTTGGGTGAGCCCACCTTCTGCCCACAGGTATGTTGTGCTGTTCAACCCGCTGGAACAGGAGCGGCTCAGCGTGGTGTCCCTGCTGGTCAGCTCGCCCCGGGTGCGTGTCCTTTCGGAGGAGGGTCAGCCCCTGGCTGTGCAGATCAGCGCCCACTGGAGCTCTGCCACTGACATGGTCCCCGACGTCTACCAGGTAAGCTGGGGGCTCGGCAGGTGGGCCCCAGCCCTGCGTGCTAATCTTTGGCCTCTGCCCATCCACACCCACTTCCCACCCTCCTGCTCGTGGCCCTGCTTCCTCCCCAGGTTGGGGACAGGAGTCTTGGGGAGAGGGGTTGCCCAGAGGACAGTCACTCCTGGGATTTGAGTCTCTCCTTGAAACGAAGGCGAAGTGTGGTATGGCAGTGATAATGGTAAAAATGGCAGTTATGTTTCCCCGTTGTTCACTCAACAAGTATTTACTGAAAGCTTAACGTGTGGTCACCACTTCATCGTTCTTCAAGTATCATTTGAGGCTCATGAAAGTCTGATGAGGGCCAAGTAGTATCACGCCTGCTTTCAGAGCAGGGCACAGAGGCCCCAGTGGGGCAGGCACTTGCTGACTCTTGGTAAGCGAATGCCCCAGGCCTGGGATCCCGGACCTGTGTCCGGGCCTGCTCCAGGCCGTGGCCCACGCTTCCCCACCCCTGCTGTGCCTGCAGGTGTCTGTGCCCGTGCGCCTGCTGGCCCTGGGCCTCGGCGTGTTGCAGCTGCAGCTGGGCCTGGACGGGCACCGCACCCTGCCCTCCTCTGTGCGCGTCTACCTGCATGGCCGGCCGCTGTCCGTCAGCAGGCATGAGGCATTCCCTCTCCGCGTCATTGACTCTGGCACCAGTGACTTCGCGCTCAGCAACCGCTACATGCAGGTCTGGTTTTCAGGCCTCACTGGGCTCCTCAAGGTAAAGAGCCAGGGACTGGGGGCCGGAGTGGGGCGTGGGTTGGTGGGGCTGTGCCGAGCTGCTTCCTGGCCTGTGAGCGTGCTGCCCCCTGGCTGACGGTGGACCCGGGAGTGGGCCGTCTGGGCTCCTCGGGGAAGTTTGTCCGTGCCTTCCTGGGGACAGGCCTGACATGCTGGTGTGGGGCCAGTGGTCAGGGCTGTGTTTTTTGGCAGAGCATCCGAAGGCTGGACGAGGAGCGGGAGCGCCGGGTGGACATGGAGTTCCTCGTCTACGGCACGCGCACGTCCAAAGACAAGAGTGGAGCCTACCTCTTCCTGCCTGACGGCGAGGCCCAGGTACCGAAAGGCACCTCGTCAGCCCCAGCAGCCCCTGGGTCCCCACTCGCAGGGAGGCTACGAGGAGACATTCCGGAGGCAATGAGGGGCACAGGCCTTCCTCCAGGGTGACCCCTGCTGCCAGGGCTCCTGGCCCATGCTGCCCCTGGGAGGAGAGGAGGGCTGAGAAACTGCGCCTGGGGGCTTGGGCCCGGCTTCCCGGGGGGTGTCAGGCCGGAGCCTGCTGGGACGGGCCCTTCTCCTGCCCGAGCCCGGGCTGCTGCCCCCTCGCTTTGCTCTCTGTGCTGAGGGTTGAGCTGCCACCTGCTCTTTCCCCAGCCCTACGTCCCCAAGGATCATCCCGTGCTGCGTGTCACCGAAGGCCCTTTCTTCTCGGAGGTGGTCGCCTACTACGAGCACGTCCACCAGGTGGTCCGGCTCTATAATCTGCCAGGTGCGCCCTGCAGATGAGGACAGCCAGGGAGGACATGTGGGCTCACAGGCTGCGACATGCTCTTCCTTCTGCCCATTCTCTGTTTGTACATCTGTTCCCAACAAATGTATCATTCGAGACATTAATTCTCTTGGAGTAAAGATGGTCGAGAAATGCCTGGGAATGGCCTGGGGGGTTGGGTACAGCCGCTGCCGGCTCAGCTCGGCTCAGCCTTCTCCCAGCCCAGTTTCTCAGATGGTGGCTCATCCTCACACCTCTTGACCCTCTCTCTTTGTCCCTATGCCCAGGGGTGGAGGGGCTGTCTCTGGACATGTCATCTCTGGTGGACATCCGGGACTATGTCAACAAGGAGCTGGCCCTGCGCATCCGCACAGACATTGACAGCCAGGGCACCTTCTTCACGGACCTCAATGGCTTTCAGGTGACTCCTGGGGCCTGTGGCCCTGGAGACCCCGTGGAGCGGGCTTGCACTGTGCTTTTTGCCACCATCATAGGCACCAGGGTGGTCTGTCCTGATGCAGAAGGGGGAAGCAGAGGCGAGAGTGATCAGGGACTCCTTCAGACTGGGGACCCCTTGGGCCCAGATGGTGTCCGGATGCCCTTCATCTGCTGGCCTTGCCCCCACAGGTGCAGCCCCGGCGGTATCTGAAGAAGCTGCCCCTGCAGGCCAACTTCTACCCCATGCCCGTCATGGCCTACATCCAGGACGCACAGAACCGCCTCACGCTGCACACCGCCCAGGCACTGGGCGTCTCCAGCCTCCACGATGGTGAGTGGAGGACAGGAGCTGTGTGAGGGTAAAGGAAGGGAAAGAGAAGCCCATCCCTGCCCCGAGGCCTCTCTGCTCTGCAGGCCTCCCCTCCTTCTGGTCTGCATCATCTCCATGCTGAGAGAAGGGGCGAGGCATTAGCCGTTCCCGTCTATCCCGGTCGGGCGCTGGGGGAAGGCGCTGCTTGCCCTCCCCGCTCCCCGGTCCTCGTGGAGGTGACTGCGGGGCTGGGTGCCCTGTTGGACCCCTTCAAGAAGCGTTGGGGGATGGAATGGTGATTCTCAGCTGAGGAGTGCAACCCTCCTTCTCCTGGCCAGGAATGGAGTAGAGACAGTTGGAAAAGTACATTTGATGTTATAATGAAGTACTTAGCAAAGGAGAAAGATACATACTGTTTTCCTATTAATGGTCATTAAAAGAGAGAATGACATTCTTAAGAATCAAAACAAAGGCATGAGGGGGCCGGCCCTGTGGTGTAGTGATTAAGTTCGCACACTCTGCTTCAGCAGCCCAGGGTTCGTGGGGTGGGTCCTGAGCATGGCCATGGCACCACTCATCAAGCCAGGCTTGATGCAGCATCCCACATGTCAAGCGGAGGAAGATTGACACAGATTTTTTCTCTTTTTTTTAAAGATTGGTACCTGAGCTAACATCTGTTGCCAATCCTCTTTCTTTTTCTTCTTTTCCTGAAAGCACCCCACCACCATACATAACTGTATATTCTAGTTGTAGGTCCTGCTTTACTGTGTGGGACACCACCTCAGCATCGCTTGATGAGTGGTGCTATGTCTGCGCCCAGGATCTGAACCAGTGAAACCCTGGGCTGCTGAAGCAGAGCATGCAAACTTAACCACTTGACCATGGGGCCAGCCTTGACACAGATGTTAGCTCAGTGACAGATTCTGCAAGCAAAGAGAAGGATTGGCAACGGATGTTAGCTCAGGGCCAATCTTCCTCACCACCCCCCCCCCCCCAAAAAAAACAAGTGCATGAGGAACACTGGCCTGGGACTGGTCACTCGGGCAAAAGCCAAGGTGGCTCCCATATCCTCAGGGTAAAGGGGACAGTTTGCACTTGTGGCCTCTGAGGCCTTCAGCTCTTCCCTCTTTGGGACGGAGCCTTTTGCACAGGGCTGGGCCCAGAGTGCCCAGTTCAGGCCCACATTCTATGGGGGGCCAGTGGCGAGTGCAGGGGGTACCTGACTCCCGACTGGAAGGGGTGGCTCTGCCGCCCCTTCGCCCGGGATCCCCCTGGCTGTGAAACTTGCCCACAGGTTTGTCTACATCATCAACTCCTGACTGAGCCCAGTGACCCCACGTGATTCTCTCTTCTTTTCTGGGGATCAGTGTGCTAAGAAGTGATTGTTTCATATGCAAGGGCTCTGTTAGGATTTTCAGCTTTCTGTGACTTCTCAGGGTCAAAAGACTGAGGCACTGGGGAAGTCAGGATCAGGGCTGGGGCTGTGGACGGGCAGCTGGGGCTGTCTGGGTGGCCCTCATCAGGAGATGCTGGCAAACGTGCTGGGAAGAGCTGCATCCCAGCAGATGCCAGCTCTGCAGCGAGCCCTGCCCCAGCTGCTGTAACAAGGAAGCCATGGCGGTCAGCTGCCGTCACTTCCCCCAGGGCACCCCCAAGTGACGCCTCACGGAGCCACTGGCCATGCCCACCACAGCCTCCTTGTGACAAACGAGGCACGGAGCTGGCGTCTGTCCCCATCATCCCATCTGTGGAATGAGGGCAGGAGCACGTGTGTCCTAGTCACTACCGAGCCCACAGCAGCTCTGACCCCACTGCTGGGAGCCAGGTGCTGTCCCCCGTGGCCAGGCTGGGTGCCGTCCCCTGGGACCTGGGCACCGTTCCCTAGGAGCCGGGCACTGTCCCCTGCAGCCAGGCTGGGTGCTGTCCTGCCTGGGTGCCCACCAGCCCCTCTCCTGCGTGTGGTTCCTGCCAGGGTCTGCCTGCCCCGTCTGATCTCTGCGTCCTCCTCTGTGGGGTCAGCCCGCACTCAGCCCCTCCAGCTCTGGCTTGCACAGCTGCTCTCCCGCCCCAACTCACGGGCTTCTCCCTCAGGGCCTGTGGTGGCTTCTTCCTCAAACGATGCTGTCTGCTTGGGGCTGGAGTGGCAGGCCGGGGGCTCACAGTTACCTTCCCCAGGCCAGCTGGAGGTGATCTTGGACCGGCGGCTAATGCAGGATGACAACCGGGGCCTCGGCCAAGGGCTCAAGGACAATAAGAGAACCCGCAACCATTTCCGCCTCCTGTTGGAACGGCGAACCCTGGGCAGTGAGGTAGGATCCACGCCTCCCTCCCAGGGAGCCAGGCAGGCAGTCCCTGTGGGGGTCCCCAGGTTCCCAGCCTCAGGCTTGAGGAGCACACTGAAGGTGGGCACAGGATGGCTAGAGTCAGGCTGGACTCCTGGGTTGGGGCATGAGTCTGACACTATGCTGCTCCATCTCACGCAGCCTGTCGCCTGTGCCCCTTGGGCTCATCTCCCATCTTCTTTGCCGCCCCCTTCCCCTCAGCCCCTGTGTTCCCTCACCCTCTCTCCTCAAGCCCCTCTCAGCTCCTGGCTTTCTTTGACCCCACCAGCCTGGCAGCCATGTTTAGGGCCTTGATCTTTCACAGCAGCAGGAGCAATAGTGAGAGGTGAGGGGGGTGAGGTCCAGCAGCTAGGGGGCAATCTGCTATTAGTGAGTTGTAACCGCAGCTGGCGCCTGCGGAGGCCAGAGCCTGCCACTCGATCCTGTGTCTGTAGCTCCTTCACTCACAAATAGACCCCAAGCCCCCGCTGTGCTGTAAGGACCCAGAGGGACACAGACGCTTAAGATACTGGCTCTGTTCTCTAGGAAGTTACCTGTGAGTGGGGGTGGGGACATGCTACGTGTGTAAAAATACAAGGTAGAAAATGTTCTGTCCACTGGCCCTGAGGAGTGAGAGGACACTGGGCCAAGGGGATCAAGGACAGCGTCCTGGAGAAGGTGCCGGCCAAGCGTGGCTTTGATGAGTGGGGTCTGATCCACACACGTGACCCAAGGCACAGGGTGCAAGGCAGGAAAGACAGCGTGAGTGGGGACGGCAGTGACTTCGCTCGGCTACACTAGAGCTGCCTGTCCATGTGGCAGCCACTCGCCACACGTGGCTGTTTAAATTAATTAAAACTAAATATGAGAACAAATTCAATTCTTCATTCATACCAGCCACATTTCCAGTGTCGGTGACCACAAGTAGCTAGTAGCTACTGTATGAGTGCAGATATAGCGTATTTCCATGATTGCAGAGAGTTCTCTTGGCCATTGCTGGGCTAGCATGGAGGGTGGGATGGGGCAGACTGTCGTGGCCCTGAATGCCTGGCTGCGGAGTCTGGACTCCATCCTGGAGGCCAGTGACGGACCTGAGCAGGGAGGGACAGTGTTGGGACTCTGCCCTAAGCATGTCGTGCTGACTGCAGGGAGTGGGCTGGACCGTCAGGAAGGGGCACTGCGGGCAGGGGCGACAGTCTAAAGGCTTTTCAAGCCGGAAGTGTTGGTGGCTTGCTCCAAGCCCTGGGAGGGAGAAGGTGCAGAGGTGAGGGCACTGCCGAGGTGGGACTGGAGATCACAGCAGAGGGAAGTGAGAGATTTGGGGCAATTGGAATTCCAGAAGGGTGGCGCTAAGGACAGAAATCCTGAATATGGACAAGTAGCTGCCTTGGAGGACGGTTCAGCTAGGCCTGTGAGCCCAACGTCCAGGACAGTCATCCAAGGAGTGGTCCTCAGTCGGCACAGCTGTAGGGACCACTGGGCCCGAGAATCAGAGCTGGCCCTGTGGATGAGGGATCACACTTGAAACCACAGGATTCCTCCAAGTACTTTTTCCGTCAGAGCACATTCTCCACGTGAAGCACACGTCTGTCGTCCTCTCATCCCCGCACTGAGATCGCCCTCTGTGACGGGAGAGGTTGCTGATGGGAGTGTGTTGCTCAGGATAGTGTTAGGGAAGCAAAAACCCACCAGAAGTAGAGGAGGGAGGGCCTGGTGAAATCGCTCTTTCCAGGTTGTGTGAGATGGGAAGGGTCCTGGAGCCAGCCCCCCCCCGAGTCCAGACTCCTCAGTGAAGCACTTTCCAAAGGAACTGACACAGCCGTGCTTCCCTGCTCGCCCCTCACCCCGGCTCCGCTCCCTCACCCACATCTCCGCCCATCTTGCAGGTCCCAGATAGCCACTCCACCAGCTACCCATCCCTCCTCAGCCACCTGACCTCCATGTACCTGAACACCCCAGCGCTGGCCCTGCCTGTGGCCAAGAGGCAGCTCCCGGCCCCTGGCCTGCGCTCCTTCCATCCTCTGGCTTCCTCGCTGCCCTGTGACTTCCACCTGGTCAACCTGCGTACGCTCCAGGCTGAGGTGAGTGTCCCGCTCTGCTCTGCATCTCCAGGACCAAATTCTCGCCTTTCCTCACCCAGTCGCCTCCCTGTCCCAGTCCTGCCTTCTGGGCAGAGGTGCTGCTGCCCTGCGGGCTCTGAGGGGCACCCCCACCACCCCGCCCTTTGTTCTGTCTGTCGTCCAGGAGGATGCTTTGCCCTCGGCAGAGACTGCCCTCATCTTACACCGCAAGGGGTTTGACTGTGGTCTTGAGGCCAAGAACCTGGGCTTCAACTGTACCACAAGCCAAGGCAAGGTGAGCAGCCCAGTCGGTGCAGGGAGCCCCTGCTGAGAGCAGGGTAGGGAAGGGGTGCCCCCGGATGGCCGGTGGGAGGGCCTGGTGAGACTGCAGTGAGGCGGGACATCGAGGGGGTCACTCTGGGGCTGTTTAGAGAGAAAGGGGGAGGCTGTTGACGTGTTTTCAGAGCTACTGGGCGTACAACTGGAGAACCTCTGTTCCATGAGTAGGGACCTCCATCAAACAAAGTAGAAAATGCCAGAAATGAAAACCCAAAGCCCCTACGCTGTGGTTTTGTAAGCTCTAGTTGTCGTTGAAGCCAGCACTGATAAATGCCTCCACACACCGGGTCCTCTGTGGGCGCCAGCGACTCAGGAGTGAACGAGGACGTGGTCCCTGTCCTCAGAGAGCTCCCAGCTCAGGGCAGCGGTTCACACCCCAGGTTACGTGGAGGAGCTACGTCCCCCGCGGCACAGCCCTGCCCTTCTCTCCTCTCCACAGGTGGCCCTGGGGAGCCTTTTCCATGGCCTGGACGTGGGTTTCCTGCAGCCAACCTCCTTGACATTACTGTACCCTCTGGCCTCGCCCTCCAACAGCACTGACATCTATCTGGAGCCCATGGAGATCGCCACCTTTCGCCTGCGCTTGGGCTAGGGCTTCTCGTGGCCTGCAGAGAGAGTTCATCCACAGAGACTGCTTCTTGACACAGGTCGGGTTGGATGAGCCATACTGGGTATCCCGTCCCCATCTACCTCTCAGAACTGTGACAGCCTGGGCCCTGCTCTCATCTTCTGTTTATTGTTGCTTCTGTGCTCGGGGGCAACCCACCAGCCCGGCGCTGGGTAGACAGGGCAGATGCTGGTGAGATGCAGGAGAGGAGGCCCTTGGTCAGAGTGGGCAGGGCCGGCCTCTGCCGTGGGTTGTGAGCGGCCGCCCAGTTGGGCACAGGCTCAGGCACCCATCCTTTTCCCAAAGTGGCATGGAGGAGAAGCAAGGGCAGAAGAGGCAGGAGGGGCTGACTGCATGAGAGCCCAGCATCGGGGGCACTGTGGGCGAGAGCTGGCTCCAGGGGTCCTCTGGTTATGTAGGGACTGCGTCTCTCGCTGTGATGAGCAGGAGCAGAGTGACGGCGGGGAGGCGGGAACGGGACCCAGAGTTAGCAGTGGGGTGGAGGAGAAGGAGTTGCTGCTTTCTGTGATGGCTCCACTCTAAGTGCTCCCTGGCCTGCACGCCCTGACTGGGGGCTCAGGAAGTGTGGCAGGAAGGACTCCTCAGAGACTCTGTCATGGCCAGAGGTCATATGACGCTTCAGGTACCAAAACCCCCATCTCAAACTGGGCACTTGGTCTGTGTGTTGATTTGTGGGATGATGGCAGGAGCCTGGGGGGTCCTCCACCCTACCGACTCCCCTTTGGTTCCTGCACTCTGCACCACTGCCCCTGGAAGCTGCTTCCTATCGTGGGGCGTTGGGTCTGGCACAGGCAACCCGAGAGCTCTCGCCACCGCCCTGCAGTCCAGCCCTGAAGCTTCACCTTCGGGACGTCCTTCTACGGAAGCATTCGATTCCTCGCCCAGGACTAGGGGTGTGCAGAGTAAGTTAGGGGGCCGTGTGGCTGCTCCTCAGCCTTCATTTCAGCTTCACTTAATAGAGAAGAATCTGTGATAATCCTTTAGATGCTGAAACAATACTTGGTAAAATTTAAAATCTATCCCTTATTAAAACTCTTCCTAAATTAAGGTTAGAAGGAAACATCCTAATCTACATAAAGGTCTCTATTAAACCAGCAGTTAATGGCATTTTAAAGAGCCAGACACCACAGGCGTTCCCAATGAAGTCAGAAGCTAGCGAAGGACATACCCTTATAATTTAGTGATGTCCTGGCCCCACTGACCCCTGCAGTGTGACAGATGAGGGAGAGGAGGAAGAGTAGACGGAGGAATGGCCAACCTATAAAATCTAAGAGAATGAACTTATAAAACCTGTTAAGAACATTCTGTCAGTTGACCCAAATGATCCAATATCGTGTTGCTCTAAAGATTTTGACCCTCCCCAGATCAGCCCATAAACTCAGTGTAACTCCAGTGAGGTCGGATGCTTTTTGGAATCTGACAGGTTCTGAGGTTCATCTGGAAGGGGAAGTGCGTGAGAACACTAAGAGAATTCTGAGTGGCCATGGGCCGGGGGTGGTGCCGACTTGTCCTGCAGGGTTTCCCGAAGGACTCTCGGGCCATCCCACATTCAGTCATGTGACCTGGAGCAGAATCAGACAAAAGCCTGAGGGCCAGAGGGAGAGCCCAGGTATCCGGGAATTTAGTACAGGATAAAGGAGTATTTTAAGTAGGGGGGGAAGATGGGTTATTTTTAATAAATAGTACTTTAAGACCATTGGCTCTCTATTAAACTAAGAGATTTCTACCTCACCGTTTCCACAAAAATTAGTTCCTGAGGGAAAAACACAAAGTTAAACTACAAAATTACTGAAGAAATATAGGATATTTTTATACCTCTGGGGTGGGAAGTTCTGTTCTAAAACATAACGTGAAACCTAAAAGATACATAGTAAGGGAAAAGATAAACAGATTTCACCACAAAAAAATACTGAGAGTTTCTGCGTGATGGAAAACATCAAGGTTAAAACACAAATGATAGACTTGGGAGAAATTATCTGCAGCACTTAAAAAATTGGTGAGTATAATGACTAGGAGAAAAGCTTGCTTTGGGTCCTTAGAGAAAGTCACTGGGGCCTTCTAAGCAGCTACCTAAAGACTCAAGAGTGACACGGCTGAGTTCTTGCAGATCATTCAGGGTCGTCGCTGCCGGCATCAGGCCAGGGCACATGGAATCCCGTCTGTATCATAGTGGAAGAAACAAGCTGATCAGTGTGAAGTGCTTAGTGCCTGGTACATATGAGAGCTCAATAAATATGAGCCAGAATCATTTTAGTAAAGGATGCTAAGCAATTACATGATAGCAGGTGTTATTTGCTAGTATAATTTGTAATCAAATGGTAAGGAGGAATCTGTGAGCCTCCTAGGAAATTAGCAGAATAAAGGCTCTTATCTCTGGAGGTCTTAGATGTGCAATGAAATTATTTGTCTGCCAGAAACTCTCATGTTTAATTCTACACCTTGGCCTTTTAAAACGACTTAGGGCAGGGGCTGGCCCCGTGGCAGAGTGGTTAAGTTCGCGCGTTCCGCTGCAGGAGGCCCAGTGTTTCGTTGGTTCGAATCCTGGGCGCGGACATGGCACCGCTCATCAAGCCATGCTGAGGCAGCGTCCCACATGCCACAACTAGAAGGACCCACAACGAAGAATATACAACTATGTATTGGGGGGCTTTGGGGAGAAAAGGAAAAAAATAAAATCTTAAAAAAAAACAAAACCAAAAACGACTTAGGGCAGCGTTGCTCAAGGTGTGGTCCAGAATCACCGGAATTACTTGTTGAAATTCCAGCTTTCTGGCCGGTCCTGACTAGGGCTGCTCCTTGAGCCTGGATGCTGGAACGCGGATCTGTGAGCCGAGCCACAGCTCCCTGAGACTGACACGTAACAAGAGCAAGAAACAAGACCTGCCTTGAGTTATGTAGGGGGCGAGCAGGTTCCTGGGCACAACCTGTCAAACCAGTCTCCAGGATGAGGGGCCAGAGAACCTGCATTTTTAACAAGCTCCCAGGTGACTCTTCTGCAAACATAATTTAGAAGTGGGCCTAGGATTTTAAGGCAAGCAGCAGCCCCCTAGCACAGAGCTCTGGCCCTGAGGCCTCATAGTTCTGAGAGTTACAATCGTAATTGGAACCAAGACGTGACACAGAAGTAACCTTAACCCCTGCAAATGGATAGAATTGTGCTCCCCCCTGTACCCCTCCATCCACCTAGAACCATCCCGGCTCTGGGGAGGGCTCTGTGGCCAGTTCAAACCATGGAGAGAAAGGTGGACTCAAACTGTTTAAGAATTGGGTCCTCCCATGCAGGGTGAGCCGGGCCCAGACAGCGCTCTGATTTGGCTTGTCCAGCGGGTGGGCATAACTTTAACCTGAAACTGACCTGCTTACCACTCTCTGTCACTGTGGTGAGCTGATGACACCCGTGCACTCACAGCGGGGGAAGTCAGTCTGGGTGGTAGGAACGAGGCTTATCATCCAAGATAGAGATCTCTGATCAACATCTTTGTTTTTCCCTAACAAAAATGTGTACAAGGAACAAACACTTGAAGGGGCAATTCTCTAGTGAGAAGAGATGACAGAGGAAAGATCTGATCCTTCACAACGAACTTTAGTTTCACTTAGGGTCAGTGGGAAATAAATTCAGATCATAACAGCTGCCAGGACCAGCAGGTCTGCAAAGAGCCTCCATCCATTTTGGCTTCTGACTCTGGACCTCCCTAGTTGAGAATAAACCTGAACAGAAAGCGAACCCTATGTCATTAGGTAGCCTGGGCTAATGGGGAGCATAAGTGGGGTTGGGGACCTGGACATCTCAGCATTTGGAAGGTGACAGGGTTGATGATTTAAGACAAAGCATCAGTGTGGAAGCCTTGAGAAGCTCTCTCAGTGGTGGAGGAAAGACTGAGGTTTTCGCCCATTTTATGGTTTAAAAGTATTATTCCAGGAGTTCTTTTTCAGAAGAAATAGAAGCACACCTCAGGAGGATGTTCACTGGAGCGCTATCTGCTGTGGTGGAAAATTGAAAACAAACCTAATTGTCTATCAAAAAGGGAATGAAATACTGTCCATTCACATAATAGATAGAAAGTAATTTTTTAAAATAATCCAGACATTTACATGTATCAATATGGATAAATCTCAAAAACACCGGTGAGGGGAAAGGAAGTTGCAAAGTGATCCGTCCTTATGACATTAAAATACTCAAAAACAAGTACTATGAGGACAGTCTTTTCAACAAACAGTGTCGGGAAAACTGGATATCCACGTGCAGAAGAATGAAGCTGGACCCCGGCCTTAGACTGTATACAAAAACTAACTCAAAATGGATCAAAGACCCAAATGTAAGAGCTAAAACAAAACTCTGAGAAGAAAACAGGAGGAAATCATGATATTGAATTTGGCAATGGTTTCTTATATATGACACCAAAAGCACAGGCAATAAAAGAACAAAACAAACTGGACAACATCAAAATTTTAAACAACTGTGTATAAAAGGACACAGAGTGAAAAGGCAACCCACATAACGGAAGAAAATATTTACAAGTCACATATCTAATATGAGGTTAATCCAGAGTTTATAAAGAACTCCTACAACTCAACAACAACAAAAACTAAAAAATGGGCAAAGGACTTGAATGGACATTTCCCCAAAGATATACAAATGGCCATTATAAGCACAGGAAAAGATGTTCAGCATCACTAATCATCAGAGAAATGCAAATCAAAAACCACAGTGAGATACCACCTCACACCCGCTGGGCTGGCTATGTCAAAACAACAGGAAATAGCAAGTGTCGGTGAGGATGAGAAGAAATTGGAACCCTTATGCCTTGCAGGTGGAAATGAATAATGGTACAGCTACTGTGGAAAACGGTATGGCACTTCCTCAAAAAATTAAAAGTAGAATTACCATGTGACTCAGGAATTCCACTTCTGGGTACATAAAGAAATGAAAGCAAGGACTCGAGATACTGGTATATCCATGTTCGTAGCATCCATGTACAATCACCAAAAGGTGTAAGCAACCCAAATGTCTATACCAACTTTTGAATGAATAAACAAAATGTGGGATATATATACACAATGGAATATTACTCAAGTTTAAAAAGAAAATTTTTTTTTTAAAGATTGGCACCTGAGCTAACAACTGTTGCCAATCTTTTTTTTTTTCTGCTTTATCTCCCCAAACCCCCCCCCCCCGCCCCACACCGTACATAGTTGTATATCTTAGTTGTGGGTCCTTCTAGTTGTGGCATGTGGGACGCCGCCTCAGCATGACCTGATGAGCAGCGCCATGTCCGCGCCCAGGAACTGAACCCTGGGCCGCCGCAGCGGAGCGCACGAACTTAACCACTCAGCCACGGGGCCGGCCCCAAAAAAAGAAAATTTTGACATATGCTGCATGAATGAACCTTGAAGACAGTATGCTCAATGAAATCAGTCAGTCACAAAAGAACAAATACGATATGATTCTACTTATATGAGGTATCTAGAGTGGTCAAATTCATAGAGGCAAAGTAGAAGGAGGTTGCCAGGGGCTGGGGGGAGGGGAGTGGGGCGTTAGTGTTTAATAGGTATCGAGTTGAGTTTTGCAAGATGAAAGTGTTCTGGAGATGGATGGTGGTGATGGTTGTATATCAGTGTTGCTATGCTGCTTGCCACTGAACTACACTTAAAAATGGTTAAAATGATACATTTTGTTTAATGATCTATTTTACCACAATTTAAAACATTTTTAAGAAACAAATACTATGTATTCACAAAAACCTATGAATTTACAAAAGTATAAAAATTGACTGGAAATGGACACCTCACATTTGTAATAATGTTAACATTGTGGAAGGGGGCACTGACAAATGGGGATGGGGATCAAAGGATTATCTTTCGTGTATATATTTTATAAAATGATTTGATGCACCTATGACAAAGGGATGAGTTCTGAGTGGGAAGGCAGATGTTTGTCACATTATTCTCTGTTGTTGTGAGTACTGTGGGGTCAATTCCCACTCCTGGGGCCCCTGTGGACAGCAGAGCTGAACCCAGCCTGGTCTTTTTGCACCATCCTCTCACCTTTCAGCACTGCTGTTCATGGAGTTTTCATGGCCCATATTTCCAGCAGTGGGTGGCCAGGTCCTTCTTCCTAGTCTGTCTAATCAGGAAGCTCAGCTAAAACCTGTCCACTACGGGGGACGCTGCTGGTACGTGAAATACCAGTGGCACAGCTTTCAGCATCACAGCAACACACAGCCGCCACAGTATGGCAACCGACAGACGACACGCAACAGTCTTGGTTCCCTGACCGGGAAATGAACCACTAGACCACCATTAATCTCTGTATCCTTATGTAAATATAGAAATGTAATTTTAGCAAATCTCCAGAAAAGAATAAATGCAATTATAGTATTAAGAAACAAGAGAAAGACAGTGAGTGAGGGAGGGCAGGAGGGAAAAAGAAAACCTGGAAATCTAGCAGGTTCTTAGCTCTCACTTCTAATATAACAGCTGTTCGAAGGGACGGTCAGATCCCCAGGGTGGCCAGGAATCTCTCTGTCTTCATTCTAAATCTAGGCCAGAAGTAAACCTTCCAGGTCCCAGCCCAGCAAAAGCCAAAGTAAATACACATGTAACCTGTGAGGTGCTCCAGACTTAAGGTCGTAATGTATTAATGCTCATTTCCTGATGTTGACGATTGTAGTTGAATTACATAGGAGAATGTTTTTGTTTAAATATGAAGGTATTTAGGGGGGAGAGCGCACCAGGTCAGCAAATTAACCTCAAACGGTTCAGGGAAAAAAGTTACTTATCCCATTTGTCTGTTTAAAAAAAAAACTATTGAATTAAAAAAATATCTCCCACATTGGCTCAGATCAAACAGGTTACCTACGGAGGCCTCAGACTGAATCCAGATCCACTAGCTGCTTCAGACCTGATCTTTCCTATTCCCAGCAATCGGGGCTGACCTCAACTGTGGTCATTCTTGTCTGGCTAAAAAGACTCAGGAGTGTGGCAAAAAGAGAGAGAGGTTCTGGTCCCAATCCTGTCACGAACCAGTTTTCTTCACCTCTCCGAGCTTCATATTTCTTCTCTAAAGTGAGACAAAAATTCTACCCTGCATCTCTCCTCTGGTTATTATAAAGAACAGACGAGGTAACACATGCCAAAAGGTTTTGTAAAACATGAGGCCCTGTGATGATCTCTTGATCTTTGCATTTTCTAAAGGTACAAAAGGGATTAATGTTTGTTAAATGTCCTGAAACTCTAATTTTAAGCCACTTAAGAACTGAAGACTAATTTTAAAACTTCGGTAAATATTGTTTTTAAAAGTGTAAGGAAGTACTTTTAAAAATCCTGTAAGCATGCCCGTCAAAACTAATTAAAAAAAAAATTAAAACCAGAATTCTCC